GGTGATGCAGGACGTGCCATGGACGGTTAGTTTAGAGCCTCCGTCAGAGGCTGAGGTCCGAAACGCGATCACAGCCCTCAATCCTTTTCGTGCTACTGGTCCGGATTCCCTCCCACCTGCACTATTTAAGGATGGAGGTGAGATCCACTGTAAAGCCCTGACCACCCCATTCGAACGTATCTGGAAGGAAGTGTCCCGGCTAATGGGAGCGAATCGATTATAGTGGCGATATGCAAGAAGGGCCGTCGCACAGATTGTGCGAACCACAGGGGTATTAGCCTAACGCCAGTTGTGACAAAATTATTGGCCTCGATTATCGTTCGTCGCCTCACTGTAGAACGGGAATCTCGGATTAGGAAAGAACAGGCAGGTTTCCGCCCAGGACGTGGCTGTATAGACCATATATTCACTTTGCGGCAGGTGCTAGAGCAGCGCTAAGCATACCGCAGACCGATAACACCTGCGCTCCTCGATTTCAAGAGTGCATTTCATTCAGCCGATCGATCGATTCTGTTCGTAATACTTGCGTGGAAAGGTGTTCCCATGAAATAAATGAACATAATTCGTGATCTATACTCGAACACTACAGGCCGCGTCAGGGTCTACGGTGGTCTATAGGATAGCGTTGCGACCATAAGTGACGTTCGTCAGGGTTGTCCAATTTCCCTATTTCTGTTCTATTTCGTCGTGGATCCTATCATGGAGTGTTCCCTTGCGGAATCTCACGATGTAGGCGTTGAAGTGTTGCCTGGTGAAAGAGCAGTTGATCTTGATTATGCGGACGATATCGTCTTGTTTTTCGACGATGTTGCGGCGGCACAATCCACCCGGAATAGCCTGTTCAGAGTGGTCCCATTATTTGGTACGCGCTTTGTATCTTCAAAGTGCAAAGTGTTGCTGCAAAACCACCAGCCACTTTATGACCCTTGAGCCTTGTTAACGAGGAACTCGAGGTGGGTGATCAATTCACCTATCTCGGCAGCTGCATCAGCAACGATGGGCGCAGAGATACTGACGTCAGCTCACGCATTGCAAAGGCCAGAGCTACCTTCTTGAACCTGCGTCATCTTTGGCGACATGAATTTCCCTCCGTCTGAAAGGCCGTGTATACAAGGCCACAGTGAGGGCCATTCTGCTCTACGGTAATGAGACGGCTCTGAGGCGCCTTCAAGTCTTTGATCATCGTTGTCGGCGAAGCATTGTTGGTGTCGGATGGCACCAGCGTGTCCGCAACGATGATGTGCGTAGGTGAGTACTAGGTAGTGATAATCATGCTAGCCCCCTAGAACAACAGATAGGACTGAATAGGTTGCGTTGGCTCGGGTACGTGCTACGCATGCCTGGTCACCGCTTACCTAGGAGGGCCTTGTTCAGTCTGCCAGGGGTAGGGTGGCGCAAGGCTCGAGGTGGACAGATGTTGACTTGGCATCGGGAAATGAAGTTACTGACGACCAAAATGGGTGCCGTTGGTCCGTCTCGCCTTCCGGGCTGGAGTCCACATGACTCGCCTTGTATTTGGCTCGAGACTTTACAGGACATGGCTCGCAACCGACACCAGTGGCGCGTCTGCTGCCGTCTCCGAATCGGATTGCCAGTTTAAAGTGTGTTTGATGTTACGTTATCTGCGGGGTAATGGCTGATTTTGACGCGTGGCAGTGAAAGCCGCAAGGAAGCAGTCTCGCCGATGCCGCCTTATCTTTGCATGATAGCCAGCTGTTTGTGATGGTTTGTTGTTGACAAGGTGTAGGCGCCTTGACTCTGTTTGTTGAGGGGATTAAGTTTTTCCGGTAAGCAGCTCTTCTGTCCCACTTATTGTTCTTCGTTCCGTAGGTTATGTTTATATGGGAGCGAAGCATCAGTTCAAATGGCTGATGTATTGTTGTTTGTGATGAGAAACCGACAGAGACCAAATATTGACACTCATGAAACTTTAACTTCAGGTCGGGTGGCCAGAAATTACGACCAAGGAACTCATGCACTATTGTAGCAGATTGACCGATCTCAGTCTCCATAGCGGATGTGTATCGTGGATAGCCCGGGTTGTAGTCTCTGAAAGATTGCGATCGGGGTCCGAGATGAACTGTATGATGCACACCTTGGAATGGCTAAAATGAAGGCGCTAGCCGGATTTTATGTATGAGACTGAGTTAGACAGTACATTGTTTCAAAAGTGGTGGGCCGCATGCATTGTCAGGAGAATCGGAACGCTGTGCCCTATGCAAATGCAGTCATGGAAGTGGACAGAAGCACCATGGAAACCTATCCACGTAGCCTGTTTCGGACCTTTCGTAGGTCAGATGGTCCAGTTGATTAGTGATGCCCATACCAAGTGGATTGACGCCCACGTCCTGACTACAGCATGTTCAGCTATCACAATAATTAAACTACGTACGAGGTTTGCAACGTTCGGTATTCCGGAAAGACTAGTGCCAAATAATGAAACAACATTCACTAGTGCCTAATTTTATGCCTTACTTACCTCGAACGACATTAGACAGGTAACTACTGTGTTTTACATCCATCCTGGCTTAGTTGGTCGGTGGCCGAGTGGTCTGCGTGTCTGGTTTGCAACCATAAGTCCGCCGGTTCGAATCTGCGTAGGGGCGGACGTCCTCGTGGTTTAATCAGCTCACGCGCGACTGATGGCGGTTGTGCAGCGGCGCAGCGCCGTCACAGCGTACAGCTAACACATTATTATCAACTATCAAACGGTTTGGCTGAGACAGCTGTGCAGGCAGTGAAAAATGTTACTGAACCAACCAGCGGCTCCATTGAGTGTGCGTTTAGACCATGTCCTTTTCGCTTATTGAAACAAGATTAACGAAACCACCGGTGGAAGCCCAGCGGAATTAATGTTCGGTCACCGGTTGCGCACACGGTTCGGAGGTTTGCGAAAAACAAGCACGCGTAAAGGAATAACCTGACACTGGCAGCAGAAACAGGCTGGTAGAAGAGTTTGATCTCATCTATGTCCGTCTACCGACAGATCCCGGGTGGCAACCGACCATTGGTAAAACAGCCACCGGGCAAATCATTGAAGCAGAAACTGAAGATAGCAGGATTGTCATACACCATTTAGACTACGTGCGACCGAGATCGTTGACCTCAGAAACAACCGGTGGGTCGGAAGTGCAGTGATCGGCGCTGATCGATTCACTAGTGGCCGATCCGGCTGAATCACCGCATGAAATGCCTCTACGTCGCTCTACGCGCCAAGGCCAGTCAGTGGATCGATTCCAGGCCGGATAACTTAAAGCAGAGAGGGGAGGGATGATACGCTGTGCCAAACGCTCGAAACGCGCGTGCGTACGCGGTTGTGTACTCCGGACATTTGCCGTCTGTCATAGACATTGATTGGTGATTTAGCTTCGGCAACCGTGTGACTCACGTAACCTTAGAATGCCTTGCGTTCCTCTTTTGGTGTAGTTTTTCTTACCGTTTACACGAATAACCGTCTTAATACGCAACTGTGTTTTCTGATTTCGTTTCAGCTTTCAAAAATTGGTTTGTTTTAAAATGCATGGTCGTATACGGACTGGAATACTGACATCGCGCCCAAACCTAGACGGGACGGCGGTTCGCGTCTTTGGCTCAAAAAGCTGACCACAACGCAGTGCGAAAATGGCAATGACCAGGTTACAAAAATAGGTGCATCACTGCAATACAAACTCCAAAACATGAAGGGATAGTAGAATGAGTATGTCTAACGCATCGGAGAGTAGCCGTCATACCACTTTAAGGTTCAGTTCCGTAGAGATGAAGGGGTAATAAAGGAGGGTCTCCATAAAGTTCTGTGGAGAGATGGTGCTACCCGGATGCCTATTCAGAATGCGAAGTCTTGATCGATGGTTCTCACTAATCCTTGTATCCAAAGTCTGAACTACGAGGTGAAAATGTGAATGGTAGCTATCCTGAGGTAAACCACCCGGACCTTTTGAATCAACAGTTCGATCAACAAGATAGGTAAAAGCAGTGCTATCCAGAGAACGTGAATGCATAGTCCCATTGGGATTCGATTTGTGATGATAATACGTGATATCAGAATACAGAATCAGTTACACATTTTCGACTGCGGTGGATCATCAGCTTGCGAAAATGGTTACGGCAGGTAAGCTTTCGTTAGCTCGCATCTTATTATATGCTGGTGGGAAGAGGTGGGCAGAGACAACTGGTGATGTTGGTACCCTGTCAAGCAACTGAGCTTAAAAACTACAAATACTACCTCTAAAGGCTAGATTTTAAAAGAAATAGAATACCAGCTTTTACCAAGAGTTCAAAAAAGTTGATGCTAACTTCGCCTAATCTCCAACTATTGACGTGTATGAGATGTGAGGCTCTAAAGGAGCAAGGGAGGCGCAAGACTACGAAGCCAGATGAATCATGGAGATACACAGAACATCGTTTCAAGTTAAGATCCACTTTCCTTATGACAGATCCAGTCTCGTAGTGATGGGTCCAGTGTCAGTATAGATCAAGTCTCATGGGCAGAGAATAGTAATGTTGGTACTCTTAAACGATAACAACTGAGAAGTACCTGGATGCTGTTCGCTTGGTTGTAATGGCATAAATCGACGGGCAGTTCAGTGATAGTAATTATTAGTGGGAGGTAGCCCCGAGCAGTGGCCATGCGTATTGCAGCAGATAAGGAACTGTGCAGAACCAATATGGATTAGTCGCGGAGGTCAGCGGATTTTGAAGTTTTCAAAGGGTTTCACCCCGTAGGCATAGGGTGGGAGTTTTAACTCCTCATCGGTAGAACGGGGTGTGTAGCGTCAATAAAGTTAAAAGGTGTGGAACGGGAGCTGAATGTGTTTATAAGTGCTTAATGACTGAAAAGTCGTGATAAGTTATGATGAGAGGCAATGGAGGTATTGAAAACCACTAGCAAATTATGTAAAAGGGAACCGATCGACGACCGAAAATGCAGTCAAGAACCGGTAGTTTGCATTATCCGAATCGGCACTAGAAACTCGATGAACTCATCACCAGTCCACACTAACCTGCTGAACAGTAGGGCAAGCACTTGTTTGAACAACAGCCTCAATATGCCCAGGATACATTCGTGTTTGCAGATGCAGGGCTAATTCGATCGTACGTTCCACTGCTGCTTTTCCAATTCCATGCAACCAGAGTTCCCCCGGATCTGACTTTCTTGACTGGGAGCGAAAGTGATAGTGATGAAGTAACCGATCTAAACGTCGACCGATGTAAGCAATCTGGCCCTAGAGATCGTAAGAAATGAGCATGAAAACGGAAAACTTACGACGATATGCGACTTAGCGGAGATGAAAATATGATGAAAGCCAGTAGGGGAAGTAAAATGCATTACTTGCGGTGGTAAGTGTGCCTCTTCAGCAAGAAGCTCTGATATTTCCCAAGCACGCGAATCCGGGTTACTCACTGACATTTCGGTAATAATCGTATCAAAGGCGTCCAGGAGGAATGTTGAATGATATGCGGTCACCGAATTCACCCCAACTAATGCGCCGATTGGTGTACACAGCCAACCAGACCCCAAGAAGAGCGGTCCACAAAACGGCGCCAATAAGACTCAGAGTAACGTCTGCTGAAAGTAGCGGAGGAATCGGATGCTTACATCGTTGTAACGAACGAAGTTCGGGATATATGCTGGAAGTGTTAAGTTCACGGTAAAAGCAGCAAACGTTAATCCACCAAATGAAAGGTAAACACGGTAATCCAGCTGAGGATGTAACGATGAAGCCAATGCATGGTAAACCTACCGAAAAAGTAGATGCGGCTAAGTTTCAGCTTTTCTTCATTCGATAACCTCGCAACATCCATTTAAGCTGGAAAATAAAATATCTCATAAAATTTAATGTGAGGAGTGAAACTAGGATCCATAGATCCAAAATAGAACAGCAGACCTTAGAAAAGATGAAGGCGAGCGCACAATACGGACAAGTAACTTGTGGAGCAGAAACAAACAAGTAAAATCAAAATAAAATGATAATCGAGCGCGCAGACAACAGCGAATAGTGTTTTGTTTTACACTCAACCCCCTAAAAGAGGTTTCGAAGCCGCTTTTCAGCACTGTAGCACCATAGCACAGTCACAAGTACGCGAGAGCGAGTGCACTGTCGTGGAGCTACTTCTGGGAAAATTGGCGATATTCAGTATGAAAGCGTTGATTAGATTAACTCTATGCTAGGTAAGTTTAACACAGTTCTTCAATCGTTAGACAGACATCGAGAAGCGATAGATCCAGAACAACTGCTCTGGCCCGAGCCGTCACGAAAATAATTATTACTAAGGGTAAGCGAAGACTACGAAGTGGGAAATAAGCAGAAACGAAAACGAAGAATGAATAAAACTTTGCGAGATAAAGAAGCTACAAATAAGGGTGAATGTGTCAAAGGTAAAAGCGCTCCTAAAATCCAGACTGCGTCATACAGTGAGTCTCTAAGCAAGAATATAGCTTATCATAAGTCTCTTACTAAGGATAGACAACTTTCCCACACAACTTATGGATATTATGGACGACAATATTCGAGTTCAAGTCAAGAATCCGATGATAATTCCTTCTTCAGCAGATTGCTGATCCAGGAATGGGTAGTGTTCTGAGTTCTAAGATGAATCTAAAACGAAACGACTGAACCACACTCCGGAAGACCAATTACTGTCCACATTTCCTACATCAGCGGTCTCTTCTGTGCCGTTCATACGAAGTAAGAAAATGGGAGGTGAAGAAGGAATGCTGTGTAAATGAAGGACAATACCAATGAATGAAATGAAACACAAAAAATATAAACAAAGTATGAAGATGGATATGGTCGGAAGGGAAAGGTTTCATCTTGCCACACAAGAACATCCAACTGATGCTCGAAGCTTTCAACCGTAGGTTCCCTGGCCGCACACATTCATTCGTTTATTATACACGTTAGCTAGAGGCGGAAAACACAGCTCCTGAGCCACAATATCTGAAAGCGAGTTCCAGCACTCGATAACTCTACGCTATAAGTGGGTTTTCACGAAAATCCAGCAGAAGCCTCTTCGTATGCCATGAAAAATCTTATAAGTAGTGGCGAGCCTCTTTGAGATGTCCTGAATTGATTTTAGATCACGATACAACGATATCGAGGTGTCTCGCGTGAGTGACATTTTTGAGCAGAGAACCACCACTTCGAACTTGATGTCGGTTGGTATTTCCCGACTGCCGAGCTGGGATCCGAAGGACGATGAAGATGTTTGGCTGGATACACTATCTGACATGACGAGGAGCCGACCACAATGGCGTTTGTGTTGAGTCACTTTGTCCCACCACTCCCCTTTTGTTTCCCCCTCCAAAATCGACCTGAAAACGAATACATGACGTGATTTTTGCATTAGGTTACAGTTTCGGCTTTCATAGTCTGTAATGTGCAACCTGTTATCTTTTTTGTATAGTGGCAAATTAGCTGAGGTGTTTCTTACCCTCGGCCAACGTGTTTTGATGATGATGATTACATCCCTACGTCTATATAGATGGTTGAGCCTCTGGAAAGTCACACGAGCATTGATGATACGCGAAGTAATCTCCTCAGTGATGTGATCACCAGAGATTATACAGCTACCGAGGCAAGTGAAGTGATCCACCAATTCCAGTGGCTATTCGGTAACATTTAAAACCGGAGGTGTACCGATCCAGTCCTGCAACAGTAATTTGCACTTTTAAGGTGCAAATTACGTACCGAAGCGTGCAGCACTACGTGTCAGTCTGTATAGTAGTGTTTGCACAGCCATTGCGTCTTACCCAAGGAGAGCTATGTCATCCGGATACCCCAAATGTTTCAATCGGTCACCCGGTGGAACTTCCACTCCGGTAAGATCTGACGGCTTTTTTTAAGGCGCGACAATTCCTAGCCGTTTTGTGTTGCGAGTAATGAAGCACCGTTCGTGTAAACCTGAAACGGTTCCATAATTTGAGCTTTCTGTTCATTAGGGATCACAATTCCCGATCAGTCCAAGGTGGATCTATATAGAAGGGTCTCCTTTTGAAGACGGGGATGACCTGTTCGATAGGCAACGATAGCATAGAGTACAGAAGATTCAACGTAACGTGGACATTGAGATGTTAAGAAATATCCCAATCGAAAACATTTGCGGAGGTTTTCAGATGCATTGGCTGTAGACAGCGAAGCGGCGTATATACTAGAATGAGATAGCACAGTGATCATTTCTGCCTATGAGTTGAAGAACTGTTAGATTCGTGACATCTGACTGAGCTGGGGAAAGCCCTAGGTGCAGTATGTGCGGCGTCTGGTCCGCGATAACGCTGTTTGGCATGGTGACATGGTGAAACAGATTGCGATCGAGGACGGTGTCGAATAAGGTGGCATCGAAGGAATAAGGTAGACGACCACAAATTAAGTCCCAATTAATATGAGGGCAATTAAAGTCCCCAATGATAAGACAGTCATTTCCTGCACCGTCTCCCGATCTAATCAAACAGGTAAGTTCCGGAACTCGGTGGCGCTCTGTAGACGACAACAATCGTGAAAGATCTACGTCTATAATGAACACGGCACCAGAGAATATTGAACTCACCATCATCGTCACTAGTAGCTATAACCAAATAGGCCTCGAAATCAGCCTTCCAGTACAGTATGGCGCCACCACTGGACCTCCCTAAAAGGTGATCGGCTCGATAGAGGTGGTAATTGGGGATAGACACAGCCATATCTATGATGCCTGCAAACAGCCAAGTTTCGGTGAAGGCCATTAGGTTTGGTCGAGTACCCGAAGCAAGCATCTTAATCTCATCAAATTTATTTCTCAGACTGCGTAGATTGGCGAAAAGCAGTAGTCCGTTCTCATACTGTCTTTGGTACTCTGGGTATTCCGAATTACGCGAAAATCCACGATATGGAGATCTGTCTCACTATTCGCTCGGTGGGATCGGAGAATCAGAATTAGATTTATTAGAAGCAAAAAGAAAAAAATTTCTGTGTGCACTCCATCAAAAGTGAATCAGATGTCATTCCAGGTACACCTTGGGTCCAGCGGTTGGGTAGTTGATGGGTGGTTGAAGTGCCGCTGAGACATCTTCATTATACCACAGATTAGCAAAATACAAGTCCAAGCCTCTTTCAAATTGGTCGAGGGTTTCAGATTCCACAATCGCCGATGGTAGACGATTAGAATAAGACACGACTCATCGTTCAAAACAGTAAACATGCTTTACGTTGTAAAATCGTGTTACTTCTAGCTTGCATTGATGCCCCCTTGTAATGCTGGTTTCATTGATTTTAAGCCGAGAACGAAGGGACGGTAACTGTCCCAACCGTAATACTCGAAAAGCGGTTATGAGGTCCATTCTTAGTCGCCGGAATTCTAGAGCATGCAACCTTAATCGTCGACATCTGTCAGTGTAATCCAGTGTTCGAATAGAAGGAATCATCCGCGTAGCCAACCGTTGCACCCTCACAAGAGTTCTAGCTTCACCCCGCGTAATCGGATGGTATGCTGGTGCGCCGTATTCCAATAGAGGACGTATTAGTGTAGGGAAAACCTTAAGAACTAGCTCCTCCGTCCATATATGGAAACTCCTTTTTAGTGTCCAGAGTACCCTTAAGCCTGATCGGTACGTCTTTTTAGTAGGATCACATGACTTGAGGTCTCCGCGTGACAACACTCCCAGATCCCGGACACTAGAAACCGCGGTTAGTTGTTTTCCATCCAAGAAGTATGAACATTCATGGCTATGTCTGTCGATGCTCAGAAATTCGCAATTCGTGGGGTTAATGGGTAGTTTTCGCTTTGGGACCAAGCAACGAGCTGATCCAAGTCCTGTTGGAATATGAGATGGTCCTCTGCACCTCGGATCTCGCGCCATACTTTGTGGTCGTCAGCAAAGAACACACAAGGCGATTTCAGCCTTTCATTCACATCATTGACATGTAGAAGAAACAGGATAGGTCCGAACACTGTATCCTGGGGTAAGCCACTCGGGGAGGCAAACCAATCGGTATAGTAATCAGTTACTTTGACCCTCCATCGCCTATCCTCAAGGAACGATTTGATTCACCGAAAAAGAGTGCCACCGATCCCGTAAGTCCTAAGTCGGTTGAGCAGTTCGGCGTGAACAATTCTGTCGAACGCTTTGCTGAAACCAACCAGGATGACGACAACGCGGACGTCACCATTTAACGCCCTCACCCGGTGTTGCCAGGTCACAAGCAAGTTCGACACACATGAACGCTGGCTCAAAAACCCGTGTTGAGCTGCGTGGATGATTCCACCTGTCTCCACCACCTGCAAGAGGGCCCTTTTTACTGTCCTCTCCAAGACCTTTGCAATTATTGATGTCAGATGTATTGGTCGATAACTTTCGGGCTTGGGCGAGTTACCTCCTTTAGGGAAAGGTATCACAACAGAATCCTTACATTCCCGAGGAATCACTCCCTGACCTGGCGATTTATTGAACAGATCAGAGAGGGGGTAGCTAACACAGGAGCAAGTGTTTCAAGCATTAAGGGATGAAAGCCGTCCGGTCCAGGAGATTTGGGCGTAGCAAGAGCTTCCAATAAAGCAGCGACTTCTTCAGCGGTGCACCTCAAGTCTTCAATTACTGGGTGTAGGCTAGAGTCATCGGTCGAGTGGAGTGACTGGCAAGGAGAGAAAACGGAGGCGAAGTGAGACGCCAGAAGCGCCGCTCTTCCGTCATCTGAGAATCATAGTTTAGCGCGGGAATCTTCAAGTGTGGGCAACGAATCCTTCGGTTTAAAACGTCGGTTAGTGTATGTAGAGATCTTCTTTGGAGCTGATTTGGAGCTAAACAACAGCTTTTTCATTTTAATCTGATC